GGCTTTGGACGGCATAGCATCGGCCGTTGCGCTCACTTGGGGAGTGAATCATCAGACAGAAAATTTTCCTCTCTGTCTCTCCTCCTCTCTGTATATCTGACTTTCCAATAAATAAATAAATCTTTTAAAAAAAAAATAAGTAACTGTGATGCCCAAGAAACTGATGAACTTATCTGGACAATAAGACACTGGACTTTATACTTGGTAGATGCTTGCAATGAAAGTATCTCAACTGAATTCGAACTGTGGTAATACAACAAGGTGGAGGAATCCACCATGGGGGGTGTTGGGGGGAAGGGGAATCCCAGTGCCTATAAAACTGTGTCACATAATGCATTGTAATCAATTTTTAAAAATCATGTGAAAAATAATAACTGAGATGAACACAAACTTCAAGATCATAATTTTCCTAAGAGTCTAGCAGGAAAAGGGGAAGAGTGAAAGGTCATATTAGTATCTCCAAGTTTTTTTTTAAGTTTACAATGCCTGAATTTGGGGGCAAATTCAAGAGTGTCCATGATATTACATTTAATTCACTAATGACATAAGGAAACTTCAAAAAGTTCATAGAAAATTCACATTATCTTTTAATTTCATTTTCTATGAACTTTTTCATGTTTCCTGAACCTACAATTGTGAAGATTCTATCATTTTTAGTCAACTAGCTTTCCTCTTGTAGACCAAACATACAAATTAATTCGTATCATAGCTGCTATCTTAGCTTCTGAATAAAACACATTTCAGTTAGAAATGCTACTATCTATAGACCTGGTTTATGTGATATAGCTAATATATAATGTCAGTTTAATACAAGTCACAAATAAATTCATCTCAGCAAATAATTCCCATTGAAGAAATCTAAAAAGAGGAGACGGTGATATCTAATGTCTTAAGGGAACTTTCCCTGAAACCATTCCGTGGGTGTGCCTCTGACCTTACAGATTTCTTAATCACCTTTGTGAAGCGTCGGTCCCCAAGGTCTAATTCAACATCAACACAGATAGCCTTTAGAGCTCCACATAAATGCTTCCCTGCCACACGTTAGTAATTCATAGAGCGAGCTTTAATCACCTTTGTGCTCTACTGTTTAATTGGAGAGAAATCCTATTTCGAAATATGAATAGCAAGAACACGTGTGTTCATTGAAGATAATTTAATGTAGCATAGATCAACTCTTCGACTAGTTCAACATCTAATTTTTCCCTAATATTGACATCAAATAGACAATTCTGGTAAATGTTAGTTCAGCTGTCATATTTCAGTTTGAGTGGAATATGGTGGCAGTATATGAAATGGAGGAGTATAATCCAATTTTCAGCACTTTTGTGACTTAACCAACTAGTATCTTTTTTCTAGATTAATGAAATAGGGAGTCCGCATAATAGAGTGTGGATACATTTGAACTGCGTGAAAGCGTGACCCCCATGTTACTATAGAAAAACTGAAACATATTGTGACCCTTCAGCTTCTGGTAAGTATTCACTGTCATTTGAGACACAGGGTAGAAAACAGATTCTAGGCTCTGTTTGCTTCAGTCTGAATTGCAATCAAAAGTGGGTATCGGAGATATAAATAAGACATGCACTGTGAGATTAAATGTCCAGAAGGGCAGTTTGTGGGTTTCTAAGTAATTGAATTTCCTCTTAGAGCCCCAGCATCACGCTGTATGTTACGCTTAACAAATCACATAACTTCCCTACAAAGTAAGTGCCACTTAGAATAACTGTTTGGCCAGCGCAGACACTGGACCCTAAGGGGCTGAGCATACTCACAGGTACTCACAGGTACTCCTGATGGCAGGTGGTCTGAACCCAGAGTCTAGGGCCCTTGCCTTCATTTTTCTGCTTACATTTTGTGTTACGAAAGCAATATGCTTCTCACTTTGTAATTAATAAAAGGTTAAGTTTAACGTATTTTTTGTTCTTAGAACATTTTAGCTACTCTTGAAATTCTTGCAATCTGATTTTATTTCCATATAATTACCTCTATCTAATTATATTTAGATGTATTTGGATTATTTATTTTAAATTTTACTGAAAAAAAAACCAAACTGCTAAGTTATGTTATATTATTTGGAACTGATGTTCATATCAGAAAAATTTAAAAACTGAGTTTCAAATAAAATGTAGCCCATTTTTTAATTATCTATTCCTAAAATTCTAACGCTCTGCTTCATTTTTAATATCACACTCACCTTTAAACGAAAGCTTTTTAACAATCATGTTTGAAACGTAAGGCTAAAATCAATATAAAAAGTGGCAAACAGCACAAAATGGAAAGTCCCGTGTTGGGGTTCACAATATTAAAATCACATAAACTGTAGTTCCTGCCTCGGCAGCATTTGGAATAATAACTGGATTTTGTGAAATGTAAAGTTAAAATAGAGCCAGAAATGCTTGCACCTATTAATAGTAACTGACGTGAAACTTAGAAAGCGCATGCAGAGCATTAACGTGCACACTGCTTTCTTGGGTAGTGTCGCACATTTGGGATGTTGCTTGTGTTCACATATAACCTCACATGTTTGAGGCATTGGAGAAGTCAACGGTGTGTGCAACAGAAAAGCGTGGCATCTATAGATCATGCAGTGTTAAAACTGACAACAGGCTTTATCTGAGAACAGAAATTTAACAGATTCTGATTTTAAACAGCTTTAAAGACACATTCTTTATTTTAAAAACATAAAATTTTTAAATAAACCACGTTACATTTTATTGACCAGAGCTGTACATTTGGGTAACTGAATGCCTACACTGTAAGGTGGTGATTGTTAAAAAAAACATCAGGACAGAAGACACATCAGTGGACTTGCAAGGGTTGTTACTGAGAAACGAAGAGAAGAGCCTGGAGTGGCTGGCACTGTCCTGCTTCTTGACTGTGGTGATAGTTACAGGAACAATCATGGAAAGTCAGCAAGTGTTTCGTTTCAGTTTCTTGCCATCACGTGTTATCTGATCATAAAACAGCTCCTTCAGGATGCCACGTTGCATTGATTCTTCTGTGTTGCTTTCAGAATAAAGGAAAAGAGCCAAAGTTCAGAATCTTTGAGTTCAACCTAAAAGGCACTGATAAAGTAATGTGTAAATGGCTTTCCTGTCCTGGAAGTTCACACACAACACTGGCATGAATGCTTCAGCGGAAGGCTCTCCTGTGCAGGGCACAAGGCTGCAGCTGTGGCTCCTTAAGGCTACTTCAAGTTTGTGTTAGTGGCTCTTTGTTTCTCAGCTCCAGGCCACTGTGCAGCTAAAAGACCCAGTGCTTTTTGGAAGCAAGCCTCCACCTGCTCTTGAGATGCATGAGCTAAATATTTACAGACCATGTGTTTGTTCATTTGAAAAGTTATGCACAATTTTTAAGATGTTCTAGTTTGGCTCTGAACACTCATGACAAGATCAGAAGTATGGAAAATGAAGTAAGTACACTCTAAAATCATTAAGATTTGGTGATGATGGATATAGTTTGTCATTTTTAGAATTAAACGTGAACCAAGCACAGTTCCAAGTTTCCTTTGCAGAAGGCAATATTGTTGTATAGTCACTTTGCTAATCAAACAGGTTAAATAATTGCCAAGGGACACACAACTTCCAAGCAGTGAAGTGCAAATTTGATGCCAGCACTGTTGAATACCAAACCTGTGCCCTCACTCCACTGATATCTTACACTAAAAACCAAACACATAATAAATAAAATAAATCTGCATTTTTATATTGAAATAAACTATATCTTTAGCTCATAATTTTTACTAATAACAGTTCTTCCTTCACGCTTTTAAACATCATATTATGATGAAAATACTTATATCAATTGTATATCATAGATAGCTTATCTGCACATTATTTTACTTTATAATTGCATTAAATAAGGATTTTATTCCATGTTCCCAAAAATATTAGATCTGAAATTTATGATCAGGGATAATGTGCTTTAAAAAAATAAATTCAGCTGGTAAGCATTCCATCCTTGATGGCATGATACAATATACAGAATAGTGAGGAGGATGGCATTTTTGTCCCTTGCCAGTGCTCTTTGGAATCAAATGAAATAATAGAATTACATACAGGATTTTTTCATAAGTGAAGATACACTAATATAATTGGTCAAGTCTATGGGGAAGAACAAGTCATTGGCTGCTTAATGAATGGTTGTGGTCTGAGTTTTTTGATGGCTAATTCTGACAAAGCACAAGTGAGTCTTAATAGACAGTCATGTGTATGTGGAGTCCAGATGGTCTGTAGTTTGTTCAACTTTTAACTCTGCCACAAATCAATGAGATTATTTAGGTATTATATTAGTCAAGAAGGGTATTCAAAAAAGCATGGCTTCTACAGAAAATGTTAATAAGAAGAAATTTGTATTTCCTGGCAAACAGAAACAACCCCCAAGATTGATCCTGAAGAGCACCAAAGTCTCTCAATGCAGCAATACAATGTTGAAAAGCATGACATATGTGAAGAGATGGAGGTTGATTGGTATTGTGATCGTGATTGTGAGTATGGTTATTATTACAATGATTGGGAAACAGAAATGAGGAAGTGAATACAGAACGTGATATACTATCAAATGTTAGAAACTATACCAAGAAATATACGGCTTAGATATTTACTTCAAGTTCAATTCATTTGATAAAACAAACATTTATCATGGACAAGTCGTGACTGTGTCACAGCTTCAAAAAAGAACTTCTCAAAATACGTCCTACACTTAAAATTCTGAATCAACTACACAATTTAATTCATCAAAATACACAGAACCATTCATGACATAACAGATTAAGCCTTTCCAGTGACTTACAAGTTTGTGTATTATTTTAAGATCACTTTGACAGAACTGAATGCAAAGAGGCTCTGGATGCTGAATATTGGGGAAATGTAAAAAAGGGCAAAGAATGCAAATAAGTGAGCTTTGGATACTCAAAGCTAACCTCAGAGATTTCCAGTTCCACCTAATGCTCACATCTGCCGGTCACCATGGTGTAACCTCCTAACCTTTCAAAAGGAGCAATGGAAACCAGAAATGAGAGTGCTGACACAGACTTCATCCTGCTGGGTTTTTCTGATCGACCACAACTAGAACCCATCATCTCTGCCATTGTCTTCATCTTCTACATTGTGGCTCTGGTAGGAAACACAACCATCATCCTTGTCTCATACCTGGACCCCCAGCTCCACACGCCCATGTATTTCTTCTTATCCAACCTCTCTTTTCTGGACCTCTGTTATACAACCAGCATCATCCCCCAGATGCTAGTCAATCTGTGGGGACCAAGGAAATCCATCACCTACGGAGGCTGTGTGCTCCAGTTCTTCTTTGCCCTTGACCTGGGAGCCACAGAATGCCTTCTCTTGGCTGTGATGGCCTATGACCGCTACGCCGCTGTCTGCCAACCCCTTCACTACACAGTCATCATGCACCCTCAGCTCTGCCACAGGATGGTGCTGACTTCCTGGTTGGGTGGTCTGGGCACTGCCTTAGTTGTTTGTTCCCTGACTTTAAAGTTGCCAAGATGTGGGCACCGAGCAGTGGACAATTTTTTCTGTGAGATGCCAGCCTTGATCAAGATGGCTTGTGTTTATTCAAAGGTGATTGAGATTGTTGTCTTTGCTCTTGGAGTGGTGTTTCTATTGGCACCTCTATTACTGATTCTCATCTCATATGGAGTCATCACCCAAGCTGTAATGAAGATCAAGTCAGCCGCCAGGTGGCGTAAGATCCTCAACACATGTGGCTCCCACCTCACAGTAGTTACCCTGTTTTATGGAACATTAATTTATATGTACATGAAGCCACAGAATCAGACATCTCAGGATGAAGGGAAATTCTTCACCCTTTTCTACACAATTGTCACACCCAGCCTGAACCCTCTGATTTACACTTTAAGAAATAAAGATGTGAAGAATGCAGTGAAGAGAGTACTGGGAATGGGAAAAAGTTCCAAAAAGTCTTCAAGTTAGATAGAAAAATCAACCGGACTATAGCGATAAAGAAATGTTATCTATTATAAGCAGAAGTTTATTCATTCTTTGAAAATATGTGTTTTATGTATTTGACAGACACATTTACAGAGAAAGAGAGATGGGTGTTGCATAGACTGGTCTACTCCCCTGATAGCTGCAATGGCTAGGAAAAGGTGTAGAGGCCGAATCACTTGGGAGGGAGGGAGGGAGGGAGAGAGAGAGAGAGAGAGAGAGAGAGAGAGAGAGAGAGAGAGAAAGAAAGAGAGAAAGAGAGAAAGAAAGAAAGAAAGAAAGAAAGAAAGAAAGAAAGAAAGAAAGAAAGAAAGAAAGAAAGAAAGAAAGAAAGAAGGGAGGAAGGGAGGGAGAAAGAAAGAAGAAAGAAGAAAGATTTCCATCTTCTACTACCTTCCTAAGCACCAGCATCCCATATGGGTGCCAATTCATGTCCTACTTGCTCCACATCCCATCCAGCTCCCTGCTTATGACCTGGAAACCAGTAGAGGATGACCCCAAACCTGGATCATCTCAGCTCTGGCCATCAGGGCCATCTGGGGAGTGAACCCATGGATGGAAGATATTTCCATCGCTCCTTCACTCTGTAAATGTTTCTTTCCAATAAAAATAAATAAATCTAAAAAATAAAATAAAATAAAGATCCTGCAGAGTGGGGGCGTGGATCACCTGGCACGGCCCTCCTGTGCCCACCTGTGCCAAGTTCATGAGCCCCATGTTGGGAATCCAGCAGGGCTTGGGTTCCCAGGCTCAGGCCCTTGGGACCACCAGCAAGAGGGACTTTCAGGTTTGTGAGCCCCAGAGGAGGGGGATCTGGCAGGGCTCGGGTCGACTGTCCTAGCTCTCTTGGTCCTCCTTGAAGAGGTGAGTGATGGGTTTGGGAGCCACAGGGATGGACAGTGGGGCTTGGGTCATCTGGCCCAGGTCCTGGGACTCGTCTGCAAGAATATTCTCTCCTCAGTGAAAAGGGTGAAGCAATAGACACAGATCCTGATGCACATGGAGAACATGGCAGCCCTTTTTGTACCTCAGCAAAAGAAGAACAGAGCAAACTGGAAGAGCACCCCATCCAAATGATGGCAGCAAAAACCTGGATTAATGGAGACTTGAGGTTGACCATGTCAGCCAATGGACATTGGGAGGGGTGCATCATCCTTGGATCAGCAAAATTGACAGCATTTCAGAACTATCCAAACCACTTGGGCAGAAAATACACACAGCGGGACCCTGGGTAGATATTGAGTGGCGCTTCCCCATTCCTGGGTACTGAGACATTTGGTATGGGCTCTGCCTTTATTTCTCCCCAGAAATGAGAAGAAGAAATAACAAATTCGGAAATAATGATGATGTCGTTATGATGATATGGTGATATGATAAATCACCCATTTATCCCTAACCCTCGATCCTTTCCATCCTGATCAAATAAGTATGATAAAAAATTAAAATTAAAAAATTGTCAGGCCCGGCGCAGTGGCGCAGTGGCTAAGGTCCTGGCTTTGCACGCCCCAGGATCCCATATGGACGCCGGTTCTAATCCCGGCAGCCCCGCTTCCCTTCCAGCTCCCTGCCTGTGGCCCGGGAAGGCAGTCGAGGACGGCCCAAAGCTTTGGGACCCTGCACCCATGTGGGAGACCCGGAAGAGGCTCCTGGCTTCGGATCGGCATAGCATCGGCCATTGCGCTCACTTGGGAAGTGAATCATCGGACGGAAGATCTTCCTCTCTGTCTCTCCTCTCTGTATATCCGCCTTTCCAATAAAAATAAAATAAATCTTTAAAAAAAAAAAAAAACATTGTCCTGCAGAATACAGCAGGTACTCATCAGATAATAAATACGGGAGCAACACCACTTTTGTTAATATCAAAGATATTGAATCACCTAATATTTATCCTTGGCAGAACATACAGGGGCCCCCACGCCGTGGCTCAATGCTTAAATCTTGGCCTTGCATGTGCCAGGTTACCATATGGGCACTGGTTCATGTCCCAGCTACCCCACGTCTTATCCAAGTCCCTGCCTGTGGCCTAGGAAAGCAGTAGAGGATGGATCAGAACCTTGGGACCCTGCACCACCCCTGTGGGACACACAGAGAAGGCTCCTAACTCCTGGCTTTAGATTGGCTTAAGCTCTGGCAGTTGAAGCCATTTAGGGAGTCATCCAGGGAACAGAAGATCTTTCTCTCTGTCTCTCCTCTCTGTACATTTTCCTTTCCAATCAAAAATAAACAAAACTTTTAACACACATATAAGTTTTAGGGAAAGGGGAAGATAATATAGGGGTTTTTTTCCACAGTCATTATGACTTAGATTCTCCACCACACACCTCCGAGGTACACAGAAGTACAGCAATGTCTCAGGACCCTTGCAGGACCCTGGGGAGACCCAATCTGTACATGCTTGAGTCCCTGCAAGGAAATAACACAGAATATGCATATAACCTGTGCAAGTCTTCCGAAAACGTTATCTCTCTAGACTATTTGAAAAACCTAATATAATGTAAATGTCCTGTGAACATGTGTGCTATATTATTCATGGAATAATATCAAGAAAAAAAAATCTGCCAATGTTCAGCATAGACGCAAGTTTTCCCCAAAAAACTCCAGTCGCTTGAATCCATGGATGTAGAAGCCTCACATAAGGAAGGTTGAGTGTGTCCGTTTAGAAAGTAGAAAACCAGGAAGAATAAAGGGGGGGAAATGTTCATTAAAGTCCAGATATAATGGCTGACACTTCTTAATCTCCTATTAATTTATCCCCATATATTTTCAAGCCTGACTCATTTTATTTTGAAATTCTGCTCTGCTTTGCCCAACGTGTGCATTCACTCGGGGAGGGACAAATGCTGACTCCTCCAGCCTAGAAAAACGTCAGCTGTTCCGATGGCGAGGTCCTCCAAAGGACTGCTGTGAGTAACTGCTGCACATTTTCAGCTCTGCATGAAAACCTCATTAAGGAGGAGCAGCATTCTGATGTGGTAATGCCATCGCCTCAGACAACAGCTGGGCACCCGTTCCTGTCTTGGCAGCTCCACTTCTGATCCAGCTCCCTGCTAACAGCTTGGGGGGAAAGTAGGGGGAAGACAGCCCGAGTGCCTGAACACCTGCAACCACTTTGGAGACCCAGACGACAGCTTCGAGCTTCAGCCTGGCTCAGTCCTGACTTGCTGCCATTTGGGGAGTGAACCAGAAGGTAGAACTCTTTCTCCCTCTCTCTGCAGGTAACCCTGCTGGCCTTCAAGTAAATAAAAATTTTTAAGTTTCATTAGAAAGAAAATAGTAGCACAAATAATTTTTAAAAGATTGAGAAATCTTTTTTCTCAATAAAGATTGTGAAAATACCTTCTGTGAGGTCTTTCCCGGAGACTTGCCCGGATCAAGGTAACAATGTCACACACAGCTAGGATCCAGTGCCTGGGAGAAGCATGAACAGGCTCCCAGCTGGGCAACGGGCTCCTCCCTCCAACAACTGCCCTTAGCTAACAGGATTTAGAAAAAAAATAGAAATTCCCTGGCAAGCTATTTTTTTAAGTTTGATAAAAACGTTGTCAGGAGTTTAGGAAAAGGGACCTCTCATTTGCTTGTGTGTGTGTTGTGTTAGGTATATGGTATTACATTACCTTTCTTAAAGAAAAAATCAGAAATCTCCAGAAATAAGTACAGATTGAAAATGTCTTGACCACAATTCTGAAGCTAAAAAAAAAAAGCTCAGAAAACGAAAAGGTCTCATAACTCTAGTAGCAGAAAAGACCTAAACTGGTGTGAAACCACTTCTTTACTTTCACTTCTACTAAACGAAGCCAGTTCTATGTTAAAAGAACAAAAATTATTGACAGACTGTTAGTGAACATTTGTCAGAAACGGGTTTTTAAAAACAAGGATACTTATTTCTATAACAGTAATTTATAAAATGAGAGACTACCTTAAGTGAAATATTTTAGAAAAAAATAGAACTTTTACTTTGGGATACAATAATAATTGAGAGTGACATCAAATAAAAACTATCAAAGAATAGCATAACTTTATCTAGATTTTAAGTGTACATTCACAGTGGCTACATGAAAATAGTGGATCATATTTTGTGTCTTTCGACTCAATTGAAATGCCCAAGGGTAAACTTCCTTTCTTGCTACGCTGCAGGTACAAATACAATTAGGGTACATAGTTTTTCCTTTCTGCTATTACATGAGACCCTACTTGCGGTATTAGCAGCGTGCCCAGTCTCCTGTAGGGCTTCCCTTGTCGCTGAATCATCTTCAAGTTTCCGAAATGGGGCTCCCATCCCTTTGTACACCCACCCAGCAGCAGCACCCTAGTGCCCACCGCCGATTCTCGCAGCGCCGCCAGAGGGCGCTGTAGCCAGGCCGCAGCGGTGACGTCACAGTGAGAACTCGCTGTCCAGAACCCCGCGGGGCCGGGGTCCTTCCAAGGGGCCGAGCCGCTCCTCCGCCGCCTCCGCGCTCCCTTCGTGGCCGACGGTGCTCGGGTCTTCCCGCGCTCCCTTCGTGGCCGACGGTGTTCGGGTCTTCCTGCCTGAGACGCTCCATCTCCATCCAGACTGTCAGGGCTGGAGGTACTGATCGCCGTCCCCTTTCTCCCGGGTACGCCATTCCGGCAGTGTCCACAGTCCCCCGTGGATCCTCAACAGAAACACACAAACAGCAGAGCTCTCGGTTCTCCTGAAGAAGGCGATGCCCGCCTGCACGCTCTCCGTGCCCAGGGGAAAGGATGCCCGCCTGCACGCTCTCCGTGCCCAGGGGAAAGGATGCCCGCCTGCACGCTCTCCGAAGGATGCCCGCCTGCACGCTCTCCGTGCCCAGGAGAAAGGATGCCCGCCTGCACGCTCTCCGTGCCCGGGAGAAAGGATGCCCGCCTGCACGCTCTCCGTGCCCAGGAGAAAGGATGCCCGCCTGCACGCTCTCCGTGCCCAGGAGAAAGGGCCTCGGGGGCAGCTGAGGAAGTTGCTGGGGCAGTCAGGAGCAGGGAGACCC